TGCCAGGCTGGGGGCCGGGTCTGCATCCGATCTTCCTATCGAAAGAGCGGCACTGGTTCTTGGGCGGGTATCGGAAGCGTCCAGTATTGAGTGTGAAACGCACCCAGTTCATGATAACCCCGTGTTTGGCAGCGACGGCGCACTCAGCGCAGGGCCGGGCCATGGGGGCAGCGATAGCGGACCTTGAAAGTGGGCGCGGTGTGAGTTGGATGTCACGTTACGTTGCTATCGCGCGCGTGCGCAGGCGAGAGAACCTTTTGATTTTCTGGCCCTTTGATAGGCAACCGCACAACGAAGGCGAGATGGCCTGCGCGAAGCCGTTGCAGGTGCCACGAGGGGAGGGCGTGGATTGGGACGAGTTGGAGGCGAAACGAATGCCCGAAAACCAGTGCGAGCGCTGCCGGCGCAGGTTGCCGGTAGAGGCGTTTACGAAGTGCGAGTTCCAGAGGGGAGAGGCCGGTGCTTTGCAGAGAATGCACGGGAGAGGTGTAAAACGCCGGCGCGAAATGCTGCGCGCCGCGCAGAGGGTGGGCAACCAGAGCGGAGGATGACGGTGCGACGCGGCATGTCAGCGGTCGGAGCGGGGGCGCAACGGCCGACGGGGGGGGGGGGGGCAAAAAGGATTCGGGCAATGTGCTGCGCGAAGTGCAGCCATGTCGAAGCCGAGCAGAAGTCGCGGAGCGGCAGCGCGAAGTGGAACGAGAGCGTCGGCGTAGTGCTATGATCGAACGACGAGCGCCTGTCGCTGCGCGACGAAAAGGCGGACGTGTCGGAAGCTCAGAAGAAGCACAAATCTGCGGGGGAGAGGTTGCGTCGGAAGTGCGCGGAGAAGCGGGGGGATGCGGCGCCGTGGACAAATTGCGAAGCAGGGGATCGCAAACGGAAAGCGGAGGCGGACGCGGAGTCGCTGACGCGCGGCGCGCCCGGTTGCGGGGTGTCTTTCTGGGAGGTCGGCCACGTGAACAACAGCCAAATGGAGGGCCACCGGACGAAGAAATGGGCAAGAGTGGCGTGCGAAAGCTGTCATACGCGGGGCGTCGCCGCGAAAGGTGTGGCCGATGAGTCGAAGCGGTCGAAACGACTGCTGATATGCGCAGCGCGCAAGAAGCAGTTCGCTCGGCAAGAACGCGCAAGCGCCAAACAGGAGAGCGAGCACTTCACGAGAACGGGTAAAGTTGCATGCGTAGATTGCATTGCCGACGGGCTCACGTCGCGCAGTTGGCAGGCCTCTCAGCGCAGTGGCAAGTGCCAGGGGGAATTGCCGAAGTCGTTTTTTTTTCCCCGTGGACGCGAGCCATGTCGCGCGTGGCGAGAAGAGGGGCGCCTTAAAATGCAAGGCGTGCAAATGATGCCAGTAGGGCGCCCGTGCCATGGCCCGTAGAGGTAAGGGCAGCGGGGGTGCGAGCGAGAGGGGGGACGAAACCGAGGAAAAGAGGAACGCAAAGAAGGTGAAAACGGAGGAAAGGGAGGAGGAGCAGGGGGAATATGGGGGAGAGGCGGAAGGGAAGTCAAAGAAGAGGAGGAGGAGGACAAGTCACGATCTGGTTTTGACGCGTCACGGGGGCGTCTTGAAGGTAGTCTATGGGCCTTTTGGGGGTTGTCTGGGAGCCTGTTGGGGGCCTTTTGGGTCTCGCTTGGGGTTCCCCAGGACCCTCGTAGGAGGTTCTTGCAGCATGGTGAGGGGATCTCCGAGCCAAAGGACCCCAAAGTTGCCCTCTGGGCTCCCTCTTGGAGCCGTCTGGAGGCCCTCTTGGGCCGTCTTGGGCGCTTCTTGGGCCGTCTTTGGGCCCTCTTGGACCTCTCTCGGCAGTTGCCGAGGCCGTCCTGGGAGGATATGAAAAGGTTTCATGGCCCGTGTCGGACGTAGCGGAACTGCAAGAGGCCAATATGGTGAACATCAACGTTTTACGAAGGGACTGGGACGATGTCTGCTTCTTGGGGCTCGTTTGGGACGCCTCTTGGTCGCCTCTTGGGTCGTCTTGGGGGCTTCGGAGGCTGTCTGGAAGCCGTCATGGACGTCTTGGAACGGTACTTCGGCGACTCGTCGCCCTCTTGGACGGTCAGGGAGACGTTTTGGTGCCCTCTTGGCTCGTTTTGAGGCCTTTTGTTCCCCCATGACGCGTTCGGCGGCGGATCGTACCGGGCGAGGGGAGGGGGTCGAGTTGCCGGTTCGGGATCCCACGGGGTAGCTTATGGGGGGGGAGGATCTCACACGCCTAGAGACCCACAAGGGGTCGGCGGAGATTCCTGACGACGACTATGATTGTAAGGGTGGTGATGGTGACGAAAAGCAGGCGGATGCTGATGAGGAGCACCATTTGTGGTGTTCACGGTGGTGGTGATAGTGGGGCTGATGGTGTTGACGATGACGGCAATGATGGCTGAACACGGTGGTGATGATGACTATGACGATGCTGATGGTCAGGATGGTGACGATGATGATGTGGACGTTGATGAGGAGGATGATGGGAGATGATGGTCGTGAGCAGAAGGGGGCGATTGTGCTGACTGTGATGACGCCGCTGATGATGCTGATGGTGATAGTGGTGGTGATAGTGTTGGAGATAATGGTTCTGCTGATGACGATGGCAATGGTTATGATACTGATGATGGTGATGATGCTGAGGCTGATGATGATCATCATCATCCTGCTGATCATGGTGATGGTGATCATGGTGATGAAGATAGTGATAGTGATGGTCATTGTCATGATGACGATGATGATAATCGTGACGGTGATGATGACGATGATGATGCTAATGTTGATGATAATGGTGATGGTGATGGTGATGCTGGAAGTGACGTTGATGATCATGTTGCTGATCATGCTGATGTTGATGACGATGACGGTGATGGGGTTACTTATGATGATGAAGATGGTGCTGATGTTGATGTTGATGTTGATGCTGATGAAGTTGATAATGATGATAGTGTTGATGGTGTTGGTGCTGGTGCATATGCTGATGCTGATGACGATGCTGACTACGTTGTTGATGATGGTTCGATTGTGATTGTGCTGATGACGCTGATGATGCTGATGATCATGTTGATGACGGTGATGCTGATGATGGTGGTGATGATGGTAATGCTGATGACAATGAGGATGATGAATATGATAAAGATGTTGGTGACGATGATGGTTATGATGATGACGAATATGTTGATGATGAGGCTGATGATGATAATGATGATGATGATGATGATGGGGCTGGTGACGATATGGATGATGATGATTGGGATGGTGTTGATGATGACGATGATGATGATGATGATGATGATGATGACATGATGATGGTGATGATGATGATGGTGCTGATGATGATGATGATGATGATGATGATGATGATGATGATGGTGGTGGTGGTGGTGGTGGTGGTGATGGTGATGGTGATGGTGATGGTGATGGTGATGGTGATGGTGATGGTGCTGCGGGTGAGGATGGTGATGGTGAAGTTTGAACCTTTTACGGGAGATTCTAGCACGCCTTTGGCCTTCTGGGCTGGCGAATTTGCATGGCAGCCCTCCAGGGTTGAACGCTGTGATCCCCCACCGCACGACAGTCGGCCGAGTACTGCCACCAGGGTAGCAACGTGTTTGCTTTCCTGACATGGGGTTGTGGTCTGGCTTGAGCTGTCTTGGAAGGCTGGTGGGTCCTTCCCCCCCTTTTGTATTTAACGCTTGCACACTTTAGCATAACCTTGAGGGTCACAAGTGAATCATCTCCCCAAGCCTGAAGGACCCTCACTTGCCGTGAAGCGCCCTGTCCTCAGAGAGGAGATGCCTCCCAAAGATCGGCCACGTTGCAGTCAGTCACGTAGTCATTGTGTTGCAGGCGAAGCTTGGAGGCCGCCCACGAGCCCACAGGCAAATCAGAACTGGCGCTGCACTCGTCAGTTGTCAAGGGTGGCCGCCACTTCATGATCATTCAGGTCGCCTCCTTCAGTCCTCGCCACGAGACCGACTGTGACAATTTCTGAGACCTCGAACACGCCACGCCCTAGTGTACCATCGCGGACCGAGCAAGCGACGACTCGCATGAATGATGCGGAGAATTCTTTGGCAGGCAGGGTTAGCCAAACATCTTCAGAAGCTCGCTGGTGCCACAAATCATGACGGTGCCTCTGGCACTGCCAGCGCCGCATGGCCGAGAAGCATCTCAGCGGCACCTGCGGGTAGAGCGGAGAAGGTGAAGGCGGAGGAGGAGAGCAGAAGAGGGGAGGAGGAGGGGAGGAGGAGGAGGAGGAGGAGGAGGAGGAGGGTGGCGGAAGAATGGGAGAAAGATGATGATGATAGTGCTGATGATGATGACGATGATGGTGATGGTAATGGTGATGATGATGATGATGATGATGATGATGATGATGATGATGATGATGCTGATGCTGATGCTGATGCTGATGCTGATGCTGATGCTGATGATGATGATGATGCTGATGCTGATGCTGATGCTGATGATGATGATCACGATGATGATGATGATGATGATGATGATGATGATGATGATGATGATGATGGTGATGATGATGATGATGATGATGATGACGATGATGATGTTGCTTATGCTGATGATGAGGATGATGCTGATGCATATGATGATGATGATGATATGATGATGATGATGATGATGATGATGATGATGATGATGATGATGATGCTGATGCTGATGCTGATGTGATGCTGATGCTGCTGCTGATGATGCTGCTGATGATGATCATCAGCACGATCATGATCATGATCAGGATGATCATGAGGAGGAGGAGGAGGAGGAGGAGGAGGAGGAGGAGGAGGAGGAGGAGGAGGAGGAGGAGGAGGAGGAGGAGGAGGAGGAGGAGGAGGAGGAGGAGGAGGAGGGTAGAGGGAGGAGGAGGAGGCGGAGGAGGAGGAGGAGGATGGTAGAGGGAGGGGGGGGGAAAGAAGGGCAGAGGGAGAAGGGAGAGGGAGGGTATGGGGCCAAAGGAGGAGGACCCCCGCCACCCTGTGGGGGCGCTCTCCCACCGCAGGCGGCCTGGGCGAGACACGGAGGCCAGGCCGCGGCCGCGCCGGGGCACAGCTCGCGCAGACCTGGTTCGCGCAGACCTCCATGCCCCATGAAAGCGCAAGCCTGGATCCGGGCGCGTGGATCATAGTAGGCGCATCAAATACGAAACCTGCCTGACAGCAGCTGCCCGACGGAATTTTCGTATCCCCCGATGGCCCAGATGCACTCGGGCATCTCAGGAAGTTCAGAGGTCGTCGACAAGCGTGCCGCTAGATTGCTGAAAGCGAGATTTCTGATCGTACGCGCCGTCTTTGCAGTCAGGACGCTGACATACGGCCCGCTTCGGGCTCATGCGGGGCTCTGGTTTTCGGTTAGATCTTGGTCCGACAAACCATTCGTGGCCGATGGTCGCCGTGGCCAGAAGCAAAAACCCTTTTTTCCTTATGCAGTTCTCCTCATGGTAGCACGATGACTGCAGCGACGGGTCCCGTTTCCACATGGAAGGCACGCTCCGTCGCCAAACCGGGCGTCATTGGCCGCATGCTCTGGGGGGCGCCTTCCCCGATCCGTGGGTCTGGCGCCCTCGCGCCAGATCCACGGACCCGTAGTCCACGCCAGCGTGCGCCCGACTCCCCATCCCTCCCTCCCCCCCTCGTCCACCATTTCTCCCTCCCTGCAGTCGCTCAGGAGGGGATCGGGTTTCTGGGCTTCTCCTTAGACCTGACTCGGAGAAACATGATCAGGACAGCTCTTCGTTCCTCATCTGGTGTTCCTATTGTAGCAGCGCGTTGACTGTGCTCTCGCGTCTTTCTCCCTGCCTCTCTTCGCGTCCCCCGCGCCGCCCTCCCTGATCATAGCCCCCTTGATTTCGAGGGCCTGGAGTTAGGCAGGCCGACGCTCTTCTCATAAACTAGATTGGCAACTGTCGTGCCAGAGGGCTTGGCTTGCCCCTGACTGTCAGGCTGAACGAGCTGTGTTTGGAAACGGATGGCTTCAGGGAGCAGTGGTAAGTTTTGCTCCCGCCCCGGACCCTTGGAAGTCCCAGGAGGCTTCCAAAGGCTTGCAGAGCCTTCCGCGGAGGCCTCCTGAGGATCAAACTGGTATGACAACCTCTCTCCTCGACCCTCGAGGGCAAAACTACAGCCAAATCTCTGAAATAAGGCAGTTTGGGTTCGGAAGGGGCTCGATGTTCCTCAGGTCCTTCCGTGGCTGTTCCTCGAGCCCTCCACGTGCACTCAGGCTCCTCTGGTGCTAAGAAAAGGCTTCGCTCCTTATTGCCAAGGCCTCGCGGCCAGTGCCGCCGACCCTGAAGGCGGGACCTCCCACGGGACCCCCGCTGGCGACCTCCCCTGGGACCCGCCGGGACCCCCGAGGGGCGGTATTCTGACCTGGGAGCCCCCCCTTCCCCCCCCCCCCCCGCCCCCCCCCCCCTCCCCCCCGACAGGGAAGGGAACAAAAAGGGGGCTTCCCGTCGACTTAACTTCGTTGGGACTGGCGAGGACGACGACGCCGCCGACGACTCAAACGGAACAGCGTCTCACACACGCCGAAGTGTCGGTGGATTTCGCGCTCCTTGTTTTCAGCAGCCCGGTTGTAGTCTGCTGGGGCGTAGAGACACCATGCTTGTCGGGGAGAAGGGGCCCCCCCTCCTCCTGCGCGAGCGCCGGGCGTTGAGAGGGGATGCCTGTCAGCCGCAGGCCCAGGCCCGAAGGGGTTGCTGGGTGCCGTTCGTCGTGGATGGGATCCAGGGGTGGTCCCGTGCCCACCCTGCAGGATCCATGTCGACATGTCGATCTGATCGATCCGATTCGAGACCGTTTTCGGCCATTTCGATTCGATTGATGCCGATGTGCCGACGATCCGATGCGGCCCAATGTTTGCATGGCGCTGTTGTGCAGTCCTGGCGCAGCCGATGCGATTCGATTCCGACTCCGTGCCGATGCGGCCCGATTCGATGTACATTACGATCCGATCCGATTTTCCAATTCGATGCTGACTTTTCCTGCCCTGCAAAGCCAGCCCTTCCACTCACCTTAGATGGTCATTTCGGGGATCCTCCCGGGGCCCGCATAAAGGATCTGTTCGATTCTAGCTCGACTCAAGTTCGATTCAAGTTCAACTCAAATTCGATTCAAGTCGACGGACGCTCGACGCAGCATCGACGCATAAGTGGAGCGAGTGGTTCCAGGGAGGTCCCTAGAACGAGCATTTCACTGCAATCCATCCACTTCCACTCACCTTCGGGGCTCCCCTGCTCCTCCGGCTCGCCTTGGGGGGTAACGGGGTCATCATAAGCAGGATGCCGTCAGTGGTCGGAACCAGCCCGGATCCGCAAACATGGGCTGCAGCCAGGCCATCGGATTGATGTCCGATCGGGGCGTCTCAGAACTTGCTGCAGGATCTCATGATTCCTACACTTGCCTTCATCCCAGGCCGCGAAACTGCGGCGCGGCACTCGCAATCCCACCTTCCTAGATCCCCACTCCAGTGGTTCCAGGCCCCGAACATGTGGTAGCGCCATCAGGTCCTCACCATTCCAGTTTTCCCAGGTCCTGTAACGGCCACAGGGTTCTTACCACTCCAACAGCCGAGCGATTGATAACACTGTGCCTGAGGGGCGTTTGGCCTGAGCGCCAGTTTGGCAGGGCCATTGGCGTCTCATCGCGCCAGCTTTCGCAGGTCGCGAAAGTGTAGCAGGGCCACAGGGCTCGTACCATGCTGGCCCTCACAGGTCTCGATAGCATAGCAGGGCCATCTGCTTATCACCACCCCAGCCCTCCCAGGAATGCTTCCCTGAGCCTTCCCTGGGAGCCCGCCCCGTGAACCAAGATTCTCCCATCGCAGTGCCCCGCTTGTAGAGTCTCACTAGAATTCTTGCGGCTTCTCCAGTGAACCACCAGGAGATCCCCTTCGAATCTCGCCCAGGGACCTTGCCAAGGAGTCCACCCAAGGAGCTCTCACTCGGAGCCTTCTGGTCCCAGGGTTCCATCCTCCCCAGCGGGTCCCGCAGGGACCCCCCCCCGAGAAGTTTCCACATGGGCCCTTCCCACGGGTCGTCCCGGGGAGCCCATTTCACGACCTTCCTGGCTCTTGGGCGGCGAGGGGTGCAGGTTCGAGGGACGTCAGCCCCCCTGGCCTCAGGCCCGTTGGCGTCGGTCGTCGCCCGTCAACCCACATAGCCAGCGCTCTTGCTGCCTGGCCCTCTCGCCCCAAGAACGGGTGTGCTTCAGGTTTTGCCTTTGGCTCGGCCCATCGATGTTGCTTCCAGCATACCGCGCCGTTCTGCTCTGCGGGCGACTTGTGCCGCGTACCAGGGAACAGCGCACCCGTTTTGCGTAGCAGTCGGCATGCCATCATGAGCACGCTCGCGTGCGTGCGTGCGTCTGCGCGTGCGTGTGTGCGTGTGTGCGTGTGTGCATGTGTGCGTGCGCGCTTGTGGCATTCGCGTGATCGGTGCACTTAGTGTGTCGTGCGCGGGACCAGCTTGTGTGCTGGCGCTTGCGCTAGCAGAGCACTAAGGTTGTCGCCCGCTCGCCGAGGACTCGCCCACTCCTGCCTGTGTCTGTTGCGATCGGTGCTCCAAACGCCCACGGCGCTGTGGGTGGGGGCTTGTATATTATGACAAGCCCTTGTGGTGTGGTTCACCTTACCGGCTGGCACCATAAACACACGCACAGACACACAGACGCACAGACACACAGACACACAGACACACAGGCATTGGCACAGACACAGCCACAGACACAGACACAGACACAAACACAGACACAGACACAGCAACAGCCACACACACACACACATACACCAGACACAGCAACAGCCACACACACACACACACAGGTTGTACGAGGGAAGCTTCCTGCCTCCGCTCCCCTTGTGCGCAAGAGCTGCAGCCGCGGCGTGCCGAGGGTGCGGGGAGCCCAGAGGCGATGTCCTCTTGGCGTGCCAGCACGTGCTCGTGCGCCTGTACCCGCACGACTCGGAGGTGATGCTTCTGCACGGAGCGCGAGAGCCCGTTCATCCTGGAGAGGCGCCAAGCCGCCAGGGGCAGGAGCGGGCGGAGGGGGGGGGGGGGGCGGGTGAGCGGAGACGGAGCGGGGGAGCGGGGGGTGGGGGGATGGGAGCGCGGGAGAGCGGGGGCGATGGGTGGCAGGATAGGGGGGGGTAGGAGGGGTGCGTTCGTGCCACCTCTCCCGCCCGTCTCTCCCCCCACTGCACCGAACTCTTCAGTATCCGCCGACGGGTGTTCTAGAGACACCTGGATCCCCCCAGATGACCCGATGCATTCAGATTGGGTGCTTCGTACATTGGACGAGGAGGAGGAGGAGGCGGCGGCTGAGCAGGATGATGAGCAGGAGGAAGAGCAGGATGACGAGGAAGGGGGAGAAAGAGCAGCAGCAGCAGGAGGAGGAGAAGGAACAGGATCAGGAGGAATATGAGGAACAGGGGAAGGCGGAGGATGGGAAAGGAGGGGGACGGCAACGACGAGGAAGGAATCGGATCCAGAAATGCGGTCAGCGCTGCAAGGTGAATCGCAAAGCTGAACGACGGGAGCAAGTCGCTGATCCTGAAGTGTGGTCACGGCTGCAGCGAACACGCAAGTTTCGAAGGGACGAGTGCAATCCGACTGGAAAGAGCATCCATGTGATTTGAACTCTTGCGTGCCAGAAGCAATATGAGGTAGAGGCATCCCCAGCACAGAAGAGTATCATTGGGGAGATGGGAGTGGTTGCCACATCAGGACACGTTGGCTCGTGCCGTATCTGACATCCTACCCCTCCCTCCCGTCGCTTTCCATTATTCGTAGTGGTTTCGTATCAATATTCGTGTCGAGCGAGGCCTTGACCCTTGAATGGTATTGCAGCGCGAGGGGTCATCTTCAGGCGAAAAGATGGAGGAGGGGGGTGAGGAGCACCAGGGGGAGACGGGAAATGAGAAAGGTGAGGAAGTCACGGAGGACGGACCGGTAGGAGGAGGAGGCGGAGGAGGAGGAGGCGGAGGAGGAGGAGGCGGAGGAGGAGGAGGCGGAGGAGGAGGAGGAAGGGCATGACGATGAGGCCGACGACGACGACGACGACGACGACGACGACGACGACGACGACGACGACGACGACGACGACGACGACGACGACAGCGACAATTCGACGACGACAACGAGCGCCGCGGGCGCCCCGCGCCCCGGGAGGTTCGACACTCCCAGGCGGCGAGCGGGTCCTCGGAAACCGGCCCCCCGGGCCCCGCGCTGGACAGCATCAGGAGAGAGAGAGAGAGAGAGCGAGGAGAGTAGCACTCATATTGAGTAGTGGTTGAGGGGGCAGGAGTGCGGCAGGCGCCGAGGCGAGAGCGCCCTGTGGGACGGCCGAAGACGAATGGCAGAAGACGGCCCGCGAGGAATTCGAGAGGCCTTGCCGAAGCCAGTCCGATCAAGCGGGCAGCATACGTTTGAAATCCTGTGAAAGCAACACGTGAGAAAGGAGGACCGTGCATTCGACAGCATCAGGGGGAGAGGATCATTGTATTCGTATCGAAGACGCCTACGGCAAACCACCGTCTTGGAGGTACAATTCGGCACACTTCGCATTTTTTGGCCATCTTGGACTGTCTTGGAGCCCTCTTGGCGCCATCTTGGGGTCCTCTTCGGCCGTCCTGGGGCCAGACTGGAGGCCTCTTAAACACGCTTGACTCCATCTTGGGGGCCTCTTGGGCCGTCTTGGGCCGTCGGAAGGTGGAACAGAAGCAGACGCCGACATCCTTCAAAAGACTGAACAATATGTCTGGCCTCTTCGAGCCTCTTGGGCCGTCTTTGGCCCTTGGGCCGTCTGGGGGCCCTCTTGGAGGCGTCTTGATGGCTTATTAGGCAGCCTCGAGGCCATCTTGACCGTCTTGGAGGCCTTCGTCGTCAATCTTAGCTGTCTTTACACCATATTGGACTGTCTTGGAGCCCTCTTGGCGCCTTTTTGGGGGCCTCTTCGGCCATCCTAGGGCCAGACTTGAGGCCTCTCAGACGCGCTTGACTCCATATTGGGGGCCTCTGGGGCCGTCCTGGGCGGTCGGAAGGCCAAACAGGAGCAGTCGCCGAAATCATTCACGGACAAACAATCATTTAGGCCTGCTCGGGCTTTCCTGGAGGTCCTCTTGAAGGCATATTGGGCCACCTTGTGGGGGGGGGGCTATTGGGCGTCTTGTGCCATCTTGGGGCGTCTTGGGTGCATCTTGAGCCGCCCTGGAATCATCTCGGGTTGGGGCCATCTTCGCCGTCCTGGGGCCAACTTGAGCCATCTCGGGCTCTCTTCGGGGCATCTGGAACGTTCTGAATGCATCTTGGGACCGTCTTGGAGGCACAATTCGGCAAGCTTAGCATTTTTGATTGGACATCTTGGACTGTCTTGGAGCCCTCTTGGCGCCGTCTTGGGGGCCTCTTCGGCCGTCCTCGAGCCAGATTGGAGGCCTCTTAAACGCGCTTGACTCCATCTTGGCGGCCTCTTGGGCCGTCGGAAGGCAGGAGCAGACGCCGACATCCTTCAAAACCTGAACAATAAGTCTGCCTCTTCGGGCCTCTTGGGCCGTCTTGGGCCCTTGGGCCGCCTGGTGGCCCTCCTGGAGGCGTCTTGATGGCCTCTTCGGCAGTTTCGAAGCCATCTTGACAGTCTTGGAGGCCTTCGTCCTTAATCCTAGCTGTCTTTACACCATCTTGAACCATCTTGAGCCCTCTTGGGGCTGTCTTGAGGGCCTCTTCGGCCGTCCTGGGGCCAGATTGGAGGCCTCTTAGAAGCGCCTGGCTCCATCTTGGTGGCCTCTGGGGCCGTCTTGCGCCGTCGGAAGGCCGAACAGGAGCAGACGCCGACATCCTTCAAAACCCTGCACAATGAGGTTGGTCTCTTCGGGCCTCTTAGGCCGTCTTGGGGCCCTCTTGGGCCGTCTGGGGGCCCGCTTGGGCGTTCCCTGGGCGCCTCTTAGGCCGTCTCGAGGCCATGTTGAACGTCTTGGAGCGATCTTCGGGCGACTCGGGGCCCTCTTGGCCCGTCTGGAGGCCCTCTTGCCTTTGGAACAGTCGCACGAGGACCCCCCTCTGAGCGCGTGGGAGCGCCCAAGGAATTCGAAATCTGGCATATCACATGATATTCACGGCGCTCACTATACAGAGAACTCGAAGGGACCTGATGATGCCTCGAGGCACGGTGGCGGATTAAGTAATGGTAGAGGGCGGCAGGAGTTCGGCAGGCGCCGAGGCGAGCGCGCCATTTGGGGACGGCTGAAGACGAACGGCCTAAGACGATCACGCAGGACGGATAATGCTAGAACGAGTCCGATCAACAATAAAAACAGCATGCGCAAAAAAGCTCTGAAGCGCGTGACTTGCAATGCGCGGGAGGGGCGCCCCCCGCGCTGGATTGTATCAGGGGAGAGAGAGAGAGAGAGAGAGAGAGAGGGGAGTAGTATTCGTATTGAGTAATGGTAGAAGGGGGCAGGAGCGCGCCCCCCTGCAGGGCAGAACCCCGCTGGGCCCCCCCCCCGACAGATGCGGAAACTGTGCGCGCCTTCCAGTGGTGATCTGCCCTCCAGCCGCTCCTGGCCCAACAGCCGTAGAGGTGTGCGCGCGCGCCAGCCCCCGCGAGATGTCCGGACGCGCCGCCGTTTCGCAGCTCTCGCCACCAGCTGCCCCTCTGGCCCAGTCCGGCAGCGCGCAGCCCGCCGAGTCGCGCACGGCACCGCCCCTTGCCGCCTTCAGGCGCGAGCCGCCCGGCCGCCGCTGCGGTCGGCGGCCGCTGCTTGCGGCGGCCGCGCCTGGCGCGCCGGGTCGGCGGGACCACCCGCAGCCGCTGGCGGCGCCGTTGGCGGTGGCCACCCTTGGCCAGCGCCGCCGACGGGCCGGCGGCGCGCGCAGGGCGCCTCGGTCGCGAGAAGGCACCGCGGCCTCCTGCTCCTCCTCGGGCCTCTTCCTCCGCCTCCTCCTCGAGCCGACCTCCTCGAGCCTCTTCCTCCAGCCGCCTCCTCCTCCTCCTCCTCCTCCTCCTGCCTCCTCCCCCTCCTCCTCCTCCTCCTCCTCCTCCTCCTCCTCCTCCGGCCTCCTTCTCGGCCACGACAGCGCCCACCCTGAGTCAAGCACACGGCACTCGTGGGGCGGGGCAGAGAAACTCAGGCATCCGACGATATGATTGTTTCAATGCGCGGCCCCAGGGGTCCCGAACCTTTCCCCAGGGACAGTTTTTGGCACCCAAGGAAAAAACGCGCTGGGGTAGAGCACAGTGTAGCATGTGAGATCTGGGGGTTTGGGGTGCTCGGGGCCCATGCGGCCATTGCTCTGTCGGCCGCGTTTCGCCGGGGAGCTCTCTGTGGAGGGCGCCGCTGTCGTCCCCTCGTGGTTTGACAGTGCTCGAGGCACCAGGCGTCTCGTCGTCCCTGGCAGTGCGGCGACGTGGCGAACCTTCTCTGCAGCTCCTGGCTCGGTGAGGGTGGGGGTGGGGGGGGGGCAGGGGGGGCGCAGCCCACTCCCCACCTCCCCCCGCCCTTCCCCTCCCCCCGCCCTTCCCCTCCCCTCTACCCTTCGTGCCCCCCCCTTCTGCCCCTGCCCCCCCCCGTCCCCGCCCTCCTGCCGACGCCAGCCGCATCTTGTTTCTCTGCCCTCCCCTCCGTCCCTCCCTCCCTCCCTCCCTGCGGCAGGGAGGGGCGGGGAGGGCAGAGGGACAAGACGCGGGTCAGGGTGGGCAGGGGCAGCCTACAGGGGCGCCATGTTCGGGATTCCGCGGGAGAAGTGGACAGCTCCGGGAGCGGGAGGGGGAATCGCCACAGCTATTACAGTTCGACGAGGGGAGCAGGGAGGGGCAGGGGGACGGGGGAGGAGAGAAAAAGAGTGGATGAGTAAGGGAAGGGAGCAGGGAGGAGGGCGGAGGAGGGGTGGAGGAGCTTCTGGAGGGAGACGGGGAGGGATGCGAGGGAAGGAGCGGGGGCCTCGTGGGGTCGCGGGGCCGCTTTTCCTTCCTGCCCCTGTGCCCCTTTGAACCCTCTGCACCTCACCTTCGCCCGAGGCAACGACGTGCGTGCCGCGGCAGCTGTCGGCAGCTTTCGGTGGGAGAAGCAGTGGTATCTCTCGGTGTCGGGAAGCGGGAGCCCTGGTGTCTGCTCTGGACCGCGCGGGCGGCCAGTGGATTCTTGTCGCGGGGTTCCCCTCTCATCCTTCGTCCTCCTTCCCCTTCCGCCTCTCACCTTTCCGTCAAAGCTTGTCCTCTTCCGAAAAAGAGGTTCCCGTCCTCCTCTCCATTTCTCCACTGACTTCTTCTTTCGGTCGGACAGGTTGACTCTCCTCTCCCTCTGGCTTTGACGGGCAGGCTTATCTTTTTGTCTCATCTCTCGTTGCATCTACATACTTGTATATGCAATCGTCATACATCACTATGCAAATATATGTATGCACCTGTAGTGACCGACATAACTACATGCTCTTCCCCAACTTCATCCCTCTTTCTCTCCCTCCCTGCCTCTTCTCTTAGCTATCGCTCCTCTCCCATCCTCGTCCTCGTCGTTGTCCTCCTCCTCCTCCTCCACCTCCTCCGTCGCCATTTTGGTTCAAGATGCAACTTCCCCCGTGGGAGCGAAGTGGATACCGCTAGTCCGCGGCTAGTTCCAATCTCTCCGCCTGGTCCGCCCCAGGTGTCAAGCGTGACGCCGCCGTGCGACGCCGCTTTGCACTGGTTATCTGAAACCACCGTGTTCGATGGGACCGAGCGGTTGCGACCGGCCTAACCATGTCTCTATCCTTCAGAAGGAAAAGAAGGAGAAGAAGGAGAGAAAGGTGAAGGACGAGACGAAACATAATAATGATAAACAGCAGCGTGAGATATCCGAGTCTCGATCATCGCGTCTGTCGGCCCGCAGTTCATCCCATACCCTTGTCAGTGCGCCACCGTGGAGATCGAGGTGCTAAAGATCGTGCTCGTGAACATCATTTATCACGTGATGCCTTTGGCCACAGTCAAGACTTCCCCAGTGGTTGTCATGGCTCTGGAGGTCCTGCTGATATCGGTCGTCCTGATGTGGGTCCGGTCTGGTCCTTTCAGTGCTGAGGCCGCTGCAACGGAGATGGACGGCAGCCTCGGCGAGGTGGGTGCGACTTCGACGTTTTCCTCACACATGTCTGCAGTTCCGAAGCTTCTGGTCGCAGGCATGGCGACCCCCCCTCTTCACCGCCCTGATCCTTGGATGCAGGGATCGTTCGATGCCATCAAAGATTTGGCCATCCGAAAGTTCACCGCCGCAGCTTTGAAGTCCAGCAAGCCCAGTCTCCCACAGGCGCTCAAAGATGCCGCGGGCCTCTTGTTCTCGAAGGTGGAGCATCAGCCTATTGGAGCATATCGACAAGGTCTAGCATAGAATGGCCAGCACGGAAGATAGGATATCGGCAAATGAAGGGTGGTTGCCAAAGTGGAACGCCGTCTCCATCGACTGGAACAAGAGTTGGACCTGGCAAAGCAGAGGCTGCAGTCGGAGCCTGTGCGTAATTCTGATTGGGATTGCGACCCTAACCATACCATTATTATTGCCCGTCCTCCCGAGCCCGTTGCCAAGTCCGCCGTGCTGGGATCGCTCAGCCCATGACTGAAGGACGCTGGGTACACCGAGAACTCTGAGTACACTGCCGTTGGAAAGAACTTGGGCAAAATTTTCACCATCGCCTTTACTGGACCAATGGCCGCCACAAAGGAATCTCGTCGCAAGCATGCCCAGGGTGGCCTCAAGACTGCAGCTGGCTGGCGGAACTTCACGGTATACAACCCTGCCAGCAGGCAGGCCCCCTTGCGCGTCGGCCGGCGTGGACAAGAGCCGCAAAGTCATCGCGCAGGAGGTCGCCGGCAATAAGCTCAAGCGTGCGTTTTGGGATGAGTTGCGGCTGCGGGTCTTCGTGGATCGGGAGGGCGGCCAGTTGCTGTCGCGCTGGGGTCTGCTTGCGTGCATCCTTGCGGCCCCCCCCTCTACTCCTACGGTCGAGTGGGACGCGGCGGCGTTGGGTGATAGTGGAGTGTCGAAGTCAATTCTGGTCCAACTGGCGGAGCGTGTCTTCCCTCAGCGCGCGGCGCAGTGATCCGATCAACGCGTTCTCGGTCTTGCGCAAGTCAGGTATGTCACGCGGAACGCGAGTTCGCGTTTTATCCTCATCCTGCGATTCAGTCGCGCAGGCTCGCACACTTGAAGCTGTTGGCGACCCCTGGCGCCGTCGTCGCTGCCCAAGAGGCCCATGGCGCGCGTGGGGCTGTGGGTGAAGTTCTGCAACGTACTCATATCAAGCATGCCTTGTTTTCGTCTTATGCCGAGGGCGAAGTTCGGCTGGGAGGTGTCCTTGCCATAGCGCCATCAGTTTTGAATGCGCATGTGGCTCGCGACGCGGCGGTTCCTGGCAGGGCTCTCTACTGCCGAGTTGTCAGCGCCAAGCTCAACTTTATTATCCATCACTGGAATGTACACAACCGCGAGATCCCTGGCGACGTGGTGAGGTTCATTCAGTTGCGTATTAAGGCTCAGGTTGCAGGGGCCCGTCGCTCGGCTGGCTGCTTCGTCAGACGTGTCAGAGTTGTTTGACCGTCGGCGAGCCCGAGGAAAACTGCCGTTCGCAGCTCCCGGATAATTATCCCGTCGTCGTCGTCTGGGATGCTCGCGAGCATGTTCGCCATGGGGGAGATGAAGGAGCGCTGGGCTCTCGTCGCCACCGCCCTCTCCCGCGCTTAGTCTATGACGACCCCCTCTTCCCCGAGCTCATCATCGAGCGCGAGAAGCTGGCGAGGCTTGATCAATTGGGATGGGCCCCCCTCGCCCACTCGAGCAGGCCGCTCGGTGTCGACGTGCTGCCGCGGCTGCTGCGCGCGACCTCGCGCCCCAAATCTCTCCTGCTGGCATTTTGCCCCGGGGTATGCTGTCGAGATCGATGCGTGGGGCAGCATGGCGGCAGGGCACCAGATTGGCCACGTTTATCCTGGCGCGGCATGAGTGGGCCCGGCAGCGCATGACTGTCGCGAGTTGCACCGTCTCCTTCATTGCTCCTGGGTTCCACGATCGTCACTACTGGCTTTCAGGAGCAGGAAGCAGCAGCTCGAAGAAAGGCCCTTGAGGCCGCCTGGGCAGGTGCCCAGCCCCCCGCCCAGCGTTCGAGGCCCCCGGGGCCAAAACGCGTCGCTGCTCGTCGTGCGCAGATGTGGAACCCGTAGCTAGGAGGAAACATCTGGCCGACGCCACTGGCTCTGCAAAGGCGGCCCCGTCACTCGATTCGGAGAAGACGCCCGCCGAGGCCCTCGCCGCGCGCTGGGCCCCCGCATTTAGCGAAGTTGCCCCTCTTCCTCGCGGGGCCCCGCGTCATGCTGATAAGTTCACGTCCTAGATGAACGTCATGGATCTTGAGCCTCCTCTCCCTCGGCATCTCCAGAGGTCTCTGGATGGGGCATCTCGGGCAGCTCCTGGTCCGGATGGGCCCCGCTGCGCAGCGTGGAAACATGGTGGTGGTGTGGGGGGGGGGGGGGGGGGGGCGTTCTGATGAGGGTCATGAGGCATTTCTGCGCGCGGTTAACTGCGCCGTCATCGTTCTCCGCGCTGCTCGCCGTTTTCATCCCGAAGCCCCGAAGCCCCCGGAGGCGGGCCCCCTGGAGCCTGGCGAAGGCGGCGCCCCGCGTGCCAGCGATGCTATCGCTGCTGCGCTGAATGGCTGCTTCCAGAGCGTCGCGCAAAGAACTGGGGCCAAAGCGAAGACAGCTGCCCCTTGGATCTGCATGCCAGATCGGCGAGTGTGCGGGCCCAGTCGGTTGGTTATGAAGTCCCCATCGGTCTTCGCCTTCGACCTAGCTCAAGCGTTCCCATTGGTTCGACGAGAGTGTTTGTTCTGCTGCCTTCAGAGATATCTTGTTCCCCCTGCCCTCATCACAGCAGTATCGATGCTATGCACTTATAGTGGCCATTCGTTCCTCTTCATGCAGTATCCGGACAGTGTTGTGCTCCGAGGTTGCCCTCTCAGTGGGAGTGCGTTAGCTGTGGCCGACAATCCCTTCTTCCTTGACCGCGAGTGCTCGCTCGCATCGCCTCGGCCCACTCTCGGTGCTATTGGCGATTGTGCAGATGACATTGGAGCTGTTCCGCGGCGTCGTCGCGCGCGCCGCCGTCTGGCTCGAGTCTTCGCGCGGGCAGAGGTCTTCGCCGACCCGAGATTGAAGCCCCCAAAGGCTTCGCTCCGAACTTCAGGCAGTTAATTCGAGCTTGTCGACAAGTGCATGCACCTTGGTCTATGGCTCGGGCCTGGAGCTACATTGGACGACCGATGGGCTGCTCCCGATCTCATGCATCGCACTCATGATGTTGCCATGAGTCAGCAAAGCGCACCTGCATATATTGCGTTTCGCCTTCTCTCCGAGCGGGTGCTCACCACTCTCTCGCACATCGTGCAGATGTCTTGTGCCACTTGGGCGTTGGGCCGGCGCCGACGCTTTCTAGCGGCCCGTCTCCTGCGCGCGCCGAGTTCGATGCTTTCGACCGCTGATATCTTCTGGATATGGAAGCTCGGGATGCCTCGTCTTGCGTCAGCGCATGTGCAGGATGGCGCTCGATCTTTGGTACTCCCAGCTTGTTCGACATCGTCGGCTCGTGCAGGAAATTGGCTGCTTCGAAACGTGTGATGGTTCTAGCGTCGTTTGCTGTGCGTCTTGAGCGCGCTGCCCTGGGCGCCCCTGGACATGCCAAGCTCGCCCGTGCCGGAGATATTGCTCCACGCGTATTTCGTGGACTCCCTTCCCCCCAGCAGTGTGAGCCTCTCTTCCCTGGGCGCGTTCCGCGCCCTCTGCGGCGAGGGGGGCAATGCAATGTGACGCCTCTGGATTTGGATCTGCAGGCGCAGAATCCTCGCGGCGGCCCGGGGAACAGCTGCAGCCAACCATCGGATCCACTCTAATCCAAAGATCCAGTGGTTCGAGGCAGGAACCGATCGGATCTACTCCAGTCCAAAGGTCGAGCGGTGCGAGGCGGCACCGGGAGAGGGCCCCGGAGGATAGGCAGCGCGCGCAGGGCGCAGCCGCGCTGGCATCTCCACTGCAGGGCAAGCTTCCCAAATCGCAGTCGGCTTTTTATTCGCTCATGCCCCCTTGGGTCTTTCCCGAGAAGCTTCTGCGTCGTGTGCAGACCCGTCTGTGGAAGCATTTTGATATTGAGATCTCCTCAGAATTGCACGTCGCGGCTCGCGCGGCGCTGAACGCCGAGCTGGGCCACGTCCATCATGCATGCCTGGTGCGGAGGGTGGATCACGCAGCGGCGAATGCAAAGAGATGGCCGCTGTGTGCACGGTTGCGTTGGGAGTCTTGGTTCGGTCAGACATTGCAGTATTGAGCGTAGTAGTTGCCATCATTTCGCTGCTCTCACTCTCAAGTGTGACATCCCTGCTCTTCCTGCGTGGCGGCCCGGAGTGAAAAGGACATGTCTTTGGGCCGCTCATGGCCATGCGCCATCATTCGAGCCTCATGTACCACAAAGCGAATGGTGACATATCTTACGGCAAAGCGCTGTCGTCGGCTGCTCCTGCTCGGCTGGCCATGCGTCTGCCTCGCCGCGGTGCCCAACTGGAGCATGCGCGCTGGCGCTCGCAGGCGCGCGCGCCGCTGGAAGCGCGCGCTGATCTCCCCGAGGCTGGAGCATCGGGACCAACGTCTGGCGACGATGCGAGCTCGACCTCGTCTTCTTCTGAGTACTCATCCTCCTCCCTTTTCTGAGACCCGTCTTGAGACTCCTACCCCTGTCCTTTCGGAGGTTGAACCTTCTCGCAACCATTTTGCGTCTTCGGAGACCCCTGATCACGGACCGTCTCTGCTGGGTAGTCATGCCAGCTTCAATCCCGCAGTATGGGGGTGGGGGGGTGGGGGGGCGGGTCGGCGCGCGGGGGCTCCCGCGGCCGCCCTGCCGCGCGAGTCTCGTTCTCCGACACGCAGGCCGCCCCTCTTTTCTGATCGCAGCCAGCCTCGTAGGCTAGTTGACGGTCTTCCTGAGTTAAGTCGCGCCCTGGACTCCGATGAGTTGTTTGGCCCTTATCCCGCCTATGTTGGCGGCGAGGCTATGGGGCCTCAGCGTCCTGTCTGTCAAAATCATGGTTTTCCTGACTTCGGAGCTTTTGTTCCAGGGCCCAGGTGGTTTTGTTTGCCCCTCTTCCCTCGGCGTAGGTGTCGAGGGGCAGGGGCCGAGGCAGCAGTCCAGTAGCAGAGGTTAGGTGTTGGATGAGACCTTCCCAGGTGCGCCCCGCCCCCCCCGCCTCCTTTTTTTGTGTTCTCACCCCAGCCACCGCGCGGTCGGGAGGTGATATAGGAGGTGACGTAGAAGGCCGCGGGGCTGCAGGGAGCCACCATCCTCCACCTGCTACGAAACTAACTACGCCAGCCCGAGGGAAGCACCCGGCGCGGCTCGCATCTGCCACGGCACGTTAGACGGCAGGTGGTGCGAGAAAATGGGAGGTGAAGTCGAGATCCAGGACCGTTCGGAAGAGGAGTCTCCACGTGATTAGCTACAGATGGAAGTCCTCCAGCTCACCCCCCTTAATCAGCTCGGCTCAAACACTTTCTTTCGCTCCCGCCCCCGTGCCGGAGCCCCTCGAAGCCGAGCCCGACTGCGATCGAGCACGGCAGGAGGGCCAGCGCGCGCGACGTGGGGCGGGCGGAGCGGAGCCACGTCAGACCCAGCGCGCGCGAGAAGCCAAGGAGGGGATGCCCAAACGTGACCAGCCACAGTGGGAGGACCAGCGCGCGAGAGAAAGGACCGGGGGAGACTCTGAACACTGCGGCGCCAAGGGCGCGCTCGAAACCAACGAAGTAGAGCCGATGGGGGATCCAGGGGCCCGACCCGACCGAGCTCTGCCGCGCCCAGCGCGCGCGAGAAAATTGCGGGGCAGAAGCCGCGTGTTATCGGCTGCAGCGGCAAAGCCAGCGCGCGCGAGAACGTGTCCGAGGAGGCGGGGGGCGCGCCGCAATGAATCCACCATGTCATCAGCTACAGAGGGAGAAGCAGCGCGTGCGATTGGTGGGGCGGGTCCCAGTTCTACCAGGCCACCATGTGATCAGTCGCAGAGGGCGGCGAAGAAATTGTCGCAAGTTACTCCGGACTTGGGCGATTCGGGCCAGCAAGTGCGAGAATTGGTGGGGGGCGCCGAAGCGGGGCCACGGGAAAGCCAGCGCGCGCGAGAAGATTGAGGAGGCGCTGAAGTTGAGCCACTTTTCTTCAGCTACAAAGTGCTGCGACTATGCGCCAGGACGCGCGCGAAGCCATGGCGGCGGCTGCGCGCCCGCTGCCTCGCGGGAGTCTCATCGCAACCATAGTGTACCTCGCTGCGCGGTGCACCCAACTGGAAAGGGAAAGAACATGCGGGCAGCGAGGCGGAGCGCATCTGGGAGCCGCGCGCGAGAGGAGTGCTTCAAGATCTGGCGCGCGACCTTGTAGACATGCGGCTCCGAGACGGGCGCGCGGCCTCGCGCGCATGGCTGGGCCAAAAGGAAAGCGGGGGGCCGAGTGCATTTCGGGCCAGATCTCGGGAGAGACGACTCGTCCGACAACGACTCCGAGGAGAAGCACCCGAGCGCAAGTGGGCGTCAGAGGGCCCATTGACCGCGGGACGTTGGGCGCACGCAGTGCCTGAGCGCTCGTTGGCGCATGCGCGCCAGCAAATTATGCAGGCATTGGTGTGCAGCGCAGTTGACGACGAGTTGGGCTCGGTTCGTGTTCAATGCAGTTCATTTCGGTTCCTCTCCGCTGTTGTTGTCCTTGTTCTTACTCACGAGACGGCGGAGAGGTGTCCCCCTGAGCTACTGCCACCCTCGTTTCGGCTACATGCTGAGCTGGTTGCGGCCAGCCCAGCAAAAGCAAGTTCTGCTGCTGACACTGATCAGCTTGCCGTGCAAGTGTCGGTGGAGTCAAGTGGTTTAGCCGCGGAAGGTTTCGCGTCGGAGACGACCGCGAGGGCTTCGCCCTGGAAGGCGAGAGCTTCAGACATCTAGAAGACTCCAGTGCCAGGGCCTGGAGATGAATCGTCACGTGGGAAGGGCAATCGTAGCCCTGAAGAAACGAGCGGTCGATACATGCGGGCGTCCAGATTATATGACCACTGCTGCCTTCTCGAATATCTTTATCGCGCGTTTCAGAAGACGTTTGTCCGGGGCTCGAGTCGAGCTATCTGTGCGGACACAGGACATGTTTTGTGGGACAAAGGTAAACTGGTTAGCGCAATGTGTTCTAAGCATGGCTCGAGCTGTCCCGACGCAAGGGCATACCCTCCCATTCATAGATCCTAGACCTGTCTTCCAGGGCTGACGGCCTTCTCCCTTTCCCCTCTGCCCCTCGTCTCATCTTTCCCTGCTCTCCTCCCTCCCGTTTCCGCTCTCGTTCTCCTTTTTCCATGTTTTTTTCAAGTAGAGGGGGGAAGCGCGAGGCGAGGGAGGGAGACGCCAGCGATTCAGGGACTCTAGTACACTCCGTTCTTGCACGTGGTATGGGAGCGCCAGGCTTCTCATAAAGAACGAGAGAGCGAGAGAGGAAAAAAACAGATGGGGAGGAGGGGGGGAGAATAGGGAGGGGTGGGCGTGGGGTGGTCAGCTTGGCTCCCGCCCCAGATCCTGACTCCCAGAGGTCCCAGGAGTTGCCTGGAGGTCGCAGGAGGCCTCTGGAGGCTTCCACAGGCCCAACAGGGGCGAAATGCGTTTCGTTTGAAAACCTCCCCCCTCGACCTTCGAGGGTCGGGGGCGAAGCTTGGCAGTGTGGCAGCAGAAATCGAGGAGTGAGAGGGGGCTTGGGCGGGGGGTGGGGGCGCGCCGCTTCCGGACCCCGAGCGTCCGGTCATCCCCCTCTCCTACCTCAGCGCGGAGCAGCCCGCCGCCGCTCAGATCCTCGGCCGCCGCCTCGCCCTCTGGAGGCAGCGGGTCGGCCGCGGGCCGGCCCACCCGTGGCATCCGTGCCAGTGCGGCGGCCAGGCCCCCCCCCCCTGTGAGCGCTGCGGGAGGGCCGCCGCGAGACCCCTTTGGGACGGGTCGGGGGCGTCCAGGAGTCAGGGGCAGCGATATGGGGGAGGACAGGTATAGGTGGGGGGGGACGCATCGACCCCCAATCGCCCACTGATCGCCGATAGGGGCTCCATAGCCCCAACCTGCCCAGGAACGTGCGGATTCCGGATCGGGGGCCTATCGCCGATCTATCGGCGATGTATCGCCGATTCCAGATCGATGTGTGTGTGTGTGTGTGTCTGTCTGTCTGTCTGTCTGTCTGTCTGTCTGTCTGTCTGTCTGTCTGTCTGTGTGTGTGTGTGTGTGCGTGTGTGTGTGTGTGTGTGTGTGTGTGTGTGTGTGTGTGTGTGTGTTTGTCCCCTCCCCAATGCCAGGGTCCCCTACCGTTGACCCTCGAAGAGGGCGTGTCGATCTTATGGCCGAGGCCACGAAGTGTCCCACACTTCACGCTCCCTCCTCTGACCTCAACATGACCCTTACCCACCCACCCCTCCTGGGCCACGCACGGGCCTCGCCTCGGGCCACGATTTGCGAACCCCCTCTTGGATGCCCCGATGCCCCCCCGATTTTGGACGGGTCGGGGGCATCCAAGAAGGGGTGTGGATGTCCAGCTGCTTGCGGAAAGTCCCGCCACCTTGCCAGCCCAGCATTCTGGGTGGCGATTGTTCGAGGGGGCACGGGAGGCCATCACGTGGGACACCTCGTGTCTCCAGGCTCGGGGGAGCCGTGATGAGGATGATTTTGATTACAAGGATGATGGGGATGATGACCATGATGATGGGGATGATGACGACGACGATGATGTTGCTGCTGCTGCTGATGATGATGATGCTTATGATGACGATAATGAAAATGATGCTGTTGTTGCTGATGTTGATGCTGATGCTGATGCTGATGCTGATGCTGATGCTTCTGCTGATGATGTTGATGATGATGACGCTGATGATGATAATGATGATGATGATGATGATGATGATGGTGATGGTGATGGTGACGATGACGAGGACGATGGTGATAGCCATGGCGGTAGTGATGGTGATACTGATGATGATGATGATGATGATGATGATGATGATGATGATGATGATGGTGATGGTGATGGTGATGGTGATGGTGATGGTGACGATGACGAGGACGATGGTGATAGACATGGCGGTAGTGATGATAATACTGATGATGATGATGCTGATGATGATGGTGATGGTGATGGTGATGGTGATGGTGATGGTGATGGTGCTGTTGATGATGATGATGATGATGATGATGATGATGATGATGATGATGATGCCGCTGATGATGATGGCTGTGATTGAGATGGTAATGATGATATCCGAAACCGTCTTGATGGGCTGCCAGACGGCCGAAAACATGTTACTACTGCGAAACTCATATTGTTCATCGATCTGGCTCCACGATTGGATAGTCCTGTTCAGACAGGATCGCCCGACGACTACCTCCTCCTCCTCTTCGTGCCGTCCTTACCGTACTTGCCGTCCTTGCCTCCTTTACCGTTCTTGCCGTCATCGCTGGACTTGCCTCCCTTGTCGTCCTTGCCGTCATCGCTGGAATTGCGTCCCGTGCCGCCCCATCGTTTGCCGGCAAACTGGGGTAAACGTTGATGCCGAAGTCGGGGTCCCATGTTTTGACAAAAAACTTCTCAGCACTTGATGCAGATCCCTGCTCTGGAGATCACTTTCAGACATGTCGATCAGCTGGTCTCGAGGCAACACCATCATCGCGGAGCGCTCCAAGCGCTCGAGGGCGAGGATGCACCGCAGCAAGACATGTGCTGCTGGCAAGGCCCTGGACAAGCCGTCTGGCGGGGCGCGGTCCTATCGGGGGTAGACGCCCCCTGCATTGTACCACCCCGACATCGCGGAGCTGCGTTGTGGGCGTGAGCCAAAGTAGCAACGGACGTCCTCCTGCAACGGGCCCTCTTAGGCATTTCGCGCCGTCGTGAATCAATATTCGGCCGCCTTGGGGCCATCTTGGTGTCCTTGGTTGCCTGCGCGGGTCATCTTGGAAGCTCGGGACGCATATCCATCGTTTTCAACGGGGGATCCTGCCTTGAGAGGCCCTGGAGAGCTTGGGGGCAGCGTCTGGGAACGCGGGAGATGCACGATCCTCAAGCGGATGCGCGTTGGATGAGGGGGCTAGGAGTTAGCAGCTCTGCAGGAAGTGCGCAATCCTCGAGCGTGTGCCCATGGAATGAGGGTTCAGGCCTTAGCTGCATGCAGGACGTATGCCGTGCTCGAGCGGGCATGCGTGGAGGGGGGTTTCAGGCATTAGCTGCCAGACGAGAAGTGCGCCATCCTCTAGCGGGCACGCGTGCGATGGGGGTTTGGGCATTCGCTGCCGTGCTGGAAGTGTACCATCCTCGAGCGTGCACGAGGGAAGTGGCCTCGGAAAGAAGAGGCGATGCACGCAGGAGTCTGCGGGTAGGGAGGGGGGGGATCCACTCAAAATCCCTAGCATACCGACCTTGGCATTCTTCCACGCCTGAACGTGCCGGGGGGCACAATTGCGGATTATGGCCAAGGCTACGAATTCTTCCAAATTTCACGGTCCCTTTTCTGATCTCAACACGACCTTTGGCCCCCCCCTCCGGGGCCGCGCGCGTGTCTCGGGTCACGATTTGCGAATCCCCCTCCTGGACGCTCCCCCCTGGGATGCCTCCGATTTGGGAAGGATCAAGGGGGGTGGCGCAGGGCAAACAATATCAAATACCAATGTCCCGCTGGTCGGACGACCCCATCAACATGTGGGTGTTGAGACAGCGCATGTTTTTGTTTTTGTTGCAAAAGGCGAGTGGGTGGCACGAGCAGTTCGAGAGAGACGCGCGTGCCACTAATACTCTTGAGCGCTCCCAAGGGGAGGGTCGCATGAGCATGCCTTGAGTGGAGCCGCTCCCGAGCGGGACGTGGGGGCACAAATGCGTGGCGACGGCGAGATGACGAGGCGTTCAGCGGGAGCGACGAGGGCGTGAGGAGGGAGGGGGGAGAGGCAGGGAGAACGGGGATGAGAATGAGGAGGGAGGGGCAGGGAACGGCCCTGTCGGACAGCGTCGGAAGGCATCCAGACGGCACATGCTCGTGCTTCGAGGACGCGTGCCCGCACCGGCTGGCCCCGCTGTCCACAGGGAAGCTCTGGCCCGACGGCACGCTGCAGTGCAGGTACCACGGGTGGCGTTTCGACAGGGACGGCCAGTGCACGGTGGTGCCGATGTCCTCTACCCAGGACGGACGCCAGCCCGCAGACAGCTCGCCTCGGCGACCCTGCTCGGCTACGCGCAAGAGTGACCCTTCGCCAGAGTGACCTGGCGGTGCGGGCCCACAAGGGGGTCCCCCTGGCACTGGCCTGCACGGTTGGACTTGGCGTCCAAGCGGCCCCTGAAGGCCGCGCAACAATGGCCATTCTTCCCAGGGTCACCTTTCCGTGTAGCCGACCTGCCGTGGCCAGGTGCCTGACCATCCATGGGTGTGGGACAGATCGCTGCGCCGAGCGCCCTCGTGGCTCTCCGACGGGTTTTCGGCTCGTTAGTTGGCGGTGGCCCTCGCTGAGTGGGCGGTTCCAGCTCAATGCAGCATCGCTGGCGCGGGCAGTCTCTGGCCTCTCCGGCCCGGCCAGCAGCGACCCACTGACATTCGCACGGGGATGTTGTAAGTATGGGCGGGCATGGTGACTAAAATCGAAGTTGTTGGGGTCTGCCTACGGATACCTCACCTTGCACAGTGACGCGTAGGCCTATCTTCCTATAGCTCGCAGAGCGGGATCCACGGCGGGTGCCCATGGGGAAACTCGTACGCAGTGGGGAGGGGCGAGGAGGGGAAAGAGAGAGAGAGAGAGAGTGGGATGGATGGATGGAGGGAGGGAGGGGAGGCGAAGAGAGTCTTCTGTGTTTCGGGGGAGCATCCTCACACATGATATCGGGTGTTTGATGCGTGTAGGATTCCAGGAGCAGGGCTGGAGAATATTAGGTTTTGGATGTTCGTCTAAGTTTCGGATATCATTGACTCTTTTCTGTGCTAGCTATCGTCGGCGGTCAGTGGAACCGAGAGGCGCCAACTGATGCAACGCTGAGCCAATGATGATAATAAGCTACTGATTTCGCGCTACTCTCAGTGCGCGCGCGCTCGCGCGTACTGCCACCCCCCAACGAGAGGAGTCGACCGACAGGATCTGCAGCATGACGCGGACCAGGGCCAGCTCCTTCCCCACGCAAGTGGCGGCGGGCCTCCTCTGGGTGTGGCTCGACTCCTCGCCAGAGGCCTGTGCTCGGGAGCTGGCGGCCCCGAGAAAAAGTGGCCCCGACTCCCCCTCCTGACTTCAGCTGGTTTTGCTGCTGTTCCTCCTCCTCCTCCTCCGCCTCCTCCTCCGCCTCCTCCTCATCCTCCCCCTACTCCAGATACTGCTCACCCTCCTCATCCTCCTCCTCCTCCTCCTCCTGCTTCTCCTCTCCTCTCCTCCTCCTCCTCCTCCTCCTCACCCTCAGCCGTTTCTCTCGTATGCCGCCGCGTCCCAGAGAATGCGAGTTTTCTTGGGCAAATTCGGGAGCGGCAACGCCCAGGAGAGTCATGCTTGGTGGACCCCTCAGTCTACGCGCGCGCGCGTGGACACCTGGCGTGGCGGAAAGGGAGGAGCCTGCGGCGCCCCAAGGACAAAGGGGCAGAGCGCAGGGCCAGGCCGTGGCAGCTTGTCACCCCGCGGCCGCAGCTCTGCGCCGTGAAGCAGGATCCGTCTCGGCCAACGGCGGGCGCGCGCCCTCTCGTGGGGGACTGTAGCGAGGTCGGTCATCAGCTACAGTGTGGAGATCAGCCGCGCGTGAAGAGAGCTCGTGGGTCAGATCCTCAGTCTCAGCATGGGGATGAGATCGTGTGAGAAGGCAGGCAGTGGCAGCGGGAGCTGTTACCGCACAGGACTCGAGCGAGACTTATCTCAGTCTCAACGCAGAGTTCAGCTCACGAGAGCAGCAAGATCGTGGGTGGGACAGGTCGTCGGCGGCAGGCAGTGGCAGCATGCTCTGTTTCAGCGCTGGGGCGCGCGAGCCATACTTCTGCTCCGCGGCGGGGGTCGGCTCGTTCGAAATGCGAGAAGGGTGTGCTCTGGGAAAATATTAGAAACAGGCGCCATCTGCTACAACGCAGGGGCATGCGGGTGCGAGAAAGGCGGGCAGTGGCAGCATCCAACGGGCCGCAGGGCGATTTGGAGAACAACTCTGGGGCCTGACGTCATCTGCTACAATGGGGAAACAGAACGTACGAGAAGGCAGCGCAGTGGCCGCAAGCACCGACGCAGCAGGGCGAGGTCAGAAAACTTCGGAAGCCAGTCGTCATCAGCTACACTGTGAGTGCCAGTGCGCGTGCGACGGACGAGCTCTGGAACAGACTGGGGCCATTCGCTACCAGCTGTACTGGAGGGGTGACCGAGTGTGGAAAAGCCGAGCGCAGAGCAGCATGGGGCGGCGGCTGACGCTATCAGCCACAGCACGGCTCAGCACGGGGGCGCGAGTGTGCGAGCAAGGCGAGCAGTGGCAACTTCAGACAGGGCGAACAGAGACTTGGGAGACACATGTGGGGCCGAACGTCAGCAGCTACACTGAGAGTGCCAGCGAGCGCGAAAAGGCCGAGCTCTTGGCACTACTGGGGCCAGACACCATCAGCTAAAGTGTTGGGGCAAGTGGGTGCGACAGCGAGCCGTGGCAACAGCGGACGGGGAGCAGCGTCATTCGGGACGCATGTCTGGAGCGAGAACGGAACGCTGTGGGGCCCTCCTCTCTCGCAAACAACGAACAAGTCATCTGGATCAGTGATCCGGTCTTTGTAATGTGATGTGACAAGACACCTAATCCTAATCGAATGGTAATCACCTGAGGCCCCAGGGCCCGAGGCACAAGCATTCTGGACGGAGGGTCCGTGGGCCGCTCGGGGGCCCCAGGGCGCTCGAGGGTGGGAGGAGGAAAACAGGACAAACAGGAAACACACTAACAAACATATGCTTTCGCATGGAAAAACAGGAAAAAACTTGAAAAACTGCGGCAGTCACAGGTTTCGTTGCTTCTTCTTGTTTTCCCTTGTGGCATCAACGGTTTTTCAATGTTTCTAATGTTTTTCATGTTTTTCTCTCTTCCGTTCTGCTGCGAGGGAGGGCCGTGGGCCGTTCGGCGACCCATGGCGCTCGAGGGAGGGGGGAGGCACACATGAAAAACAACAGCGACAGTCACAGGTGTAGTTTTTTTTTGTTTGTTTGTTTTTTCTCGGTGTTCATTGAGAAAACACATGCTAAAACACATGTTCTCTCATGTTTCTCATGTTTTCCTCTTCCTCCTCCGTCCCTTGTCCTCCTCCCCTCCTCTTCCTCGGCCTTTTCGTCGTCGTCCTCCTCCTTCTCCTCCTCCACCCCCTCCTCCCCCCGCCTGTCCCCCCTTAAACTGCCATGGAGCTAGTCGCGAGCATGCCATAACTCATGAGCGCGCTGCTCAATGCGCGTGATCGCCACCAGCAACCCGCATGGCAATTGTTTACTGTTGGTACTTCTATGGTGCAGACGTGCCACACATAAAAGTTCTTTTGTAGCAGCCTTTACAGCATGAGTCTTTTTTGTGGCGACCGAACACAAGGATTTCAAGTGTGGGTGACCTGCAGTGGCCTCCACGCTTACAACTATCTTGCAACAGCCTTTAGACACGAATTTCTGTTGCGGCGGCCTTACCCAATGGTTTTAATGGTAGGTGGACCTGCACAAAAGGAACCCTTTTGAAAAGGCTGCTACAAAAAAATGATTTGAATAGTGCAGCGTCTGCATCATACAAGCTCTGACCGTCACAGGTATTCTTAGTTGTTTCTTATGGATCCTGCATGCAATCATATACTTGTTCATGGTTTTCCGGTTTTTCCTGTTTTACTTTCTTGGGCTCAAGGTGCCGCTTCTGCAGACCCCCCCACGAGGGAAAACTGGCTGTAAGGCCGCCACAAAAGAAACTCTTTTGTAAAAGCTGTTACAACAAAAGTTCTAAGTGTGGAGGCCACTGCAGGCCCCCACGTGTGGAATTATTATGTCGATCGCTACACAGGGAATATGTGTTTCTTTTTGTTGCAAGGGCTGCTACAACATGGTTTCAATTGTGGAACATCTGCACCATAAGAGTGCCGACGGTCACAAATATTCTTTGCGTTTTCTTACTGTTCCAGGTGACGGTCATACGCTATTTCATGTTTCCCCCCCCCCCCCCCCTCGAGTTTTTCCCTTTAACTTTTCTGGGCTCAGGGTGCCGCCTCTGCAGATCCCCCCACAATGAAAACCATTTTGTAGGGCCGCCACAAAAGGCATTATGTTGCAAAGGCTGTTGCAAAAGGTTTCTAAGTGTGGAGGCCACTACAGGTCACCCACACTTGATATCCTTGTGTAGCGTCGCCACAAAGAGGAATCCGTTTGTAAAAAAGGCTGCTACAGCATGACTTTAGGTGTGGAGCGTCTGCACCATAATCGTACCGACAGTCACAGTTCTTCTTAGTTTTGTATTAGTATTATTCCCTCTGGAAGCACAGGCTTTTTCCTGTTGTTTCTGTTTGCTTGTTTTCGTTATTAGTTTTCCCGGGGTCAAAGTGCCGCCTCTGCAGATCCCCCCCAAATGGAACTATTTTTTTGTAAGGCCACCACAGCAGGAATTCTTGTGCATGGGCCGTTACATAAATATTCGAATTGTGGAGGCCAATTCAGGTCACCCACACTTGAAATCCTTTTTGTAAGGTCTCCACAAAAAGGAATCCTTGTGCAAAGGCTGCTACGAAAGGATTTTCAGTGTGGAACGTCTGCACCATCAGAGCACCGACAGTCACAGGTCGTCCTAGCTGTTTCTTGTCTTTACACGTGAAAACATCATCGTTTGCACGTTTTCCCTGCTTTTCCTGTTTTTCTCTTTAGCTTTCCTGGGCTCAGGTTGCCGCCTCTGCAGATACCCCTACGATGAAAACCTTTTCGTAAGGCCGCCACGAAAAGGATTTCGTGTGTAAAGGCTGCTACACAAGGCCTCTAATTGTGAAAGACACTGCAGATACCCCTCACTTGAAATCCTTGTGTAAGGTCTTCATACAAGGAGTTATGTTGTAAAGGCTTCTACACAAGGGTTTAAATTGTGGAACGTATGCGCCACAAGAGTACCGACAGTCACAGGTATTCCTAGCTGGTTCCTATCGTTCCATGTGAAAACACATGATGATTCATGCTTGTTTCCTGTTATGGTGCTGCTGGCGATGCAGATGATGATGATGGTGATGATGATGATGATGATGATGATGATGATGATGATGATGATGATGGCGATAATGATGATAAGGAGGAGGATGAGGAGAAGGAGGATGCGCGAATTGCGGGACAGGAGGGCCCCACAGCGTTCCTCTCTCGAGAAGCGAACGCTGTCAGCTACACTGGCATTGGCAGCAGTGGTGGGAATCAGGCTCTGGCGCTATTCAGCAGAATGGGAACGGCGAAGTTGGAACCCGAGGTCATCACCATAGCGCCCGATAGATCTTAACAGATGCGGGTCCCTGTCGCTGCTCTAGAGATGGGGATGGCGAAGTTGGAGCCGGATGTCATTAGCTACCACGTTGTGCGTAATGCGTGCGAGAATGATCGCAGCGAGCAGCAGGTCAGCAACAACGTTGAGAACATCTCATGCGGCATATGCAGCAGAGCAGGGCCCATCAACTACAATGCTGGGATCGGCAGGTGTGGATAAGGCAACAGTCCTCAGTCGCGCGTGGCCCCCACGACGAGCTGCTGAATGAGCAGCTGCATCCATCAGAAGCGCCATTGAGTCCAAACTCGCATAGCGCGAGGAGTCGTGCTTCGTGTTCTCCATCGGAGCATTGACTTACGTAGCCCAATATTGCACAATCCTCCTCACCCTCCACCTCGCCCTCCATATCCTCTTCCTCGCCCTCTTACTCGCTCCCCTTGCTTCTCTGTCCCTCCTCCTCACCTTCTTCATCTTGCTTCTCATCTTCCCTTGCGCATGTCGCTTTCTGGTTCTAGGTTGCGCGTGGTAGGCTAACTCGGGGCGGTCGGCAGCGCTGCTGCGCTCCTGTCCCCCCTGCTCGCGCCCCTCGATGGGTCCCGGTGCGCTCGCGTCTCGAATTTGCCGCAGTGGCATTGGAGTGCTATTCAGCTTCGTGCACCTTGACACTTCGCGTCGCATGGCCTCCACTGTCCCTCGCGCTGTTGATTTGAGATTCGATGGCTCTTGCGCGAGTTCAGATGGCCCGCCCCCGCCCGGTGGAAGTATTGCTTTCCTCGACCAGGCCCTGCACCTACAGCTGAGCGCCCACTTCCGCGACCAGGCGCTTGGCCACGCACGGTATCGGCATACCTGTTGTTCTTCGGGTGCTAAAGTGCGCCGACATTGACGCGCCGTGCGCCGCCCGCCCGAAGTACTCCATCTCCCACCGCGCCCTGAGACGACGCGGGCGCAGACTATGAATGGCCGCAAACGCGCGCGCGCGCTTTTGGGCGGCCGCTGCCTCGCGCGCAGCGAAGTGGCGAAGAAATCGCAGCAGTGAGCACGTGCTCACGACGGCCGCGCGCACGTTCGCGCGCAATTTTTATGCAGATGTGTTAACCTCAGGAAGGCATTAAGACCCCCCCCCCCCCTTTTCCGGTGGATTATAACGCCCCCGCACCCTGGAGCGTTATGGCCGCACCGGAAGACCTGGCTGAGGGGACTCGGGGCCTAGCTAAGGCCTGCCAAGCGCAGATTTGCTCCTGCCAAGCAGTTTAGCAGGGCCAAGCAGGTGCACTTCGCTCAGACCGCTGTCCACTCTGAAGACTCTCGTCTTCCTCCTCCTCCTCCTCCTCCTCCTCCTCCTCCTCCGTCCTCCTGGATTTTGTTTTCTGTGTGCGGCGGGTGCTAAGTGTATCGTTCGGCTAAAACTGCCCGCCTGGAATATTGAGAAAACCGGGTGCTAAGAATAACCCAGGGGGGTTTCTTAATGCCTTCCTGAGGTTATTTCAACCAATCCCCCTATGAAATGACGACTGCCCGGTGCAACTTCGACATGGCCGGGGCTGCCCGAGCCCGTGCCGGCCCGAGACGGCCTGCGAAGGCCCCGAGATGTTTCGAAGAGACCCCGAAAACAACCAAGACAGGCCAAAGACTGCTAAAGATGGCCGCGAGGCTGCCCGACAGGCCTTTCGAGCGCCCAATGGGGGCTTGAAGAAGGCTCCCAAGTGGCCCCCGACGGGCAAACGTCGTTGATGTCCAAAGCTTTCTTGTGCGAGTAGGGCGCGCTCGCCTTCGTGACCTGCAGAGCCTTCGAGACGGTCCGAGACGCCCCGCGTGCGATTGAGTCTTCCGAGAAACGAGCGCGCCATGCTCAGCTCGTCTGCTGTCGTCATCCTGCCCTTACATGGTCGGCATCATGTTTGCCGTGCATGTCGCCTCGGTCCCAGAGCCTATGGCTTCCTCTGCGGACTACGCAATGCGTCGACGCAGCCTGCGCCGCTGCGATGCCTTCCCAGAAGTGCGCCGTGCGCAGTCGACGCCTCCTTGAGCTGCCAGCGCGCGTCCCAAGACCGCCATGCCTTGGCCAGTCCACGGGCGGGGCCACCTGTGAGCTTCGAGCCTGGTGGCCCACCAGATACAGCCGTTCTGTCAGCCGCGGAGAAGTTAGCGAGCCGGGCGATCCCAGACTGGCGCGCCCATCCGGGCCGGTGGTCTATGGTTTATGATTTGGCAGCAGTCGTCGGCACCGCGGTTGGCGCGCCCTGGGTCGCCCGGTGGCGGCGCGCGGTCGCAGGAGGAGGAGGGGGATTCACCTGCCCTAGCGCCGCGGTAGGCGCGCCATGTCGGGCGGCGCCCCGGCGCCAACGCGCGCCCGCCCCGCGCGACGGCGGGCTCCAGCCCCGCGAAGTCCGCCGCTTTGAGCTGACGCGCGGCGTCCCGTGATTGGCGCTTGGAGGCGCGATGCCAGCGCGACGCGGTCGCGGCGGGCGCGTCGGCGCGCAGTCCGTTGTCCGTCGGGTTGCCCGATCGGGAGTCCAGATAGTTACCCCTGCCGTTGCCGGGCGCGGTGTTTGCTTGCGCGGTGCATTTCTTGCCCGCCGGGTTGGGCCGGGCCTAGCAGCGCGTCGCCGTCGCGTTGCAGCTCGGCGGCGCAGCGCGCGATCTCGCTCTTGCCACAGACACCTTCATATAACGATTGGAGGGCATGTGGAACTGGCGACGCGCCTGCTCACCAGTATCGTCTCAAAGTCACCCCGTCTCGGCGAGAAGAGTCGGCTCAGTGGCGCCAGGAAATTCTACGTGCTCGGCAATCGAAGGGCTCTTCCTTCCGCCTTCGCCGCCTCCTCCTTCTCGCTCCCATGTTTGTCCCATCCTGACCTGCCGGCCCCTCCTCGTGCTGTTCCCCCTTCTTATCTTCCTCCCCTCTTCCTCGTGGATTTTCCGCGCGTTCCTGCGCCCAGGTGTGTTTTGTCACATTGTCGACGCCGTCGGAACGGACTACGTTCACATAGTTACGTGTGTTCGTGGCTTGTGGCTCCAGCCGCCCTGGCTGTCGCATCTCTCGCGGGATGAAGTAAGGCAGCCCGCTCTCGGTTTTGACTTGTTCGTGTATTTGACCCAGTCGCGCGAGGATTGCGGCGTCGGCTCGAGGTGCATCTTGCCCGCCTTCTCGCGCGTGCTGATGATATTGGCACTGCCGCTGGTGATCTTTCGGAGTCTATCTCCGTTGTCTTGGATCGGCTGCAGGAAACCAGTGTGATCGCGGGATTGCAGCGTAAAGCTTGCAAATGTTTGATTACGATTGCGAAGATGATGAGCCCACTGTTCTGACCGACGGGCTCGCTTCCAGTGGTACCCCTCTTAGCTGAAATCTGCATAGGCCGTCGTGCTAGATACCTTGGAACTTATATTTGCAGCGATGAGTTAGACACCTCGCGAAGAGCCCCATGTCATAGAATACTTGAACGCGTCACTCATATTTGCTGTCAAGATTTTCATGTTGCAGATTGCCCAACCGGTTTGCCTTCATGCC